ATGTTAAAGGATAGATAAAGAACCTTTATTTTTAATAGTGTAGTACATTTGTTAGCATGAAAGAGATCATTTAACATATTGTCACTATTATTTATTTTTATTACATGACTCTCTGAAATGCTAGACCCTGATTGGGCAATAGCACCATGCATGTTTATATGTAATCATGTTTATGTACAGTCAGCCTAGCAACAAGACAAACACTGATATCAGTGTTTGTTTTGTTGCTATGCTGATTGTTTTGTGCTTTTTAATTGACAATTTTTAATAATAGACAGGTAAAATTATAACATAATCATAATCAAATAAAAATCTAATTCATTTGTTTACTTGTTGAATAGCTACCTGTACATTATCCCTTACATTTATTTTTATTTATAGTTTATTATGAGTCTGTTCACAATATAAACACTGCTTAATATAAATATTTGGGGTTTAGAATCTGTGAAAAATCCATTTGTAACATGTTTCTCTGATTTGTGTGAGTCTGCAGTGTATCCCAGGGGTAAAAAATAGAGTGAGAGATGAGGAAAGATTGAGAATGAACTCTATTTCTCAGAGTTATCTCCAGTGAAATAGAGTCCAGTCAAAAAAGACACTGAGCTCAAACCATCTGGCACCAGGATGGGCAGATAAGTCTTTTTTTTTCATTGACATAAAAATGCTTCAAACAGGATTATTCCATAACCTGTCCTGAACTTTATTTTTATTTCTTAAAGGTTTTATGTACAAACTTGGGAAGTGATCGTCAACTAATCTGAATTGCAATTTTCTACACATTGCAGTCATTTTCTTAATCATTGTTTTCCATAAACAACATCTAAACATCCTTAAAACAACATAATTTTACAAGCAAACTTGTATAATTAAAACTTTTTTGATGATATATTGAATTTGAAGTTTATTTTTCTTACCATATTTCCTGTTTTAACCATGAATATAACAAAATGTGGTGAAGCTTATGCTTAGAACATTATGTGAGAGAATGTGTCATGCTATTTTTATTTCCTGGGTTAATTAGTCATGGTGGGGAACTGTGAGCTAGCGCTACATCTTTGTGTTGATGAATGCAGCCTTCTTACAAATGCTGTTACAAAAATATCTCTGAGCTGCAGATAATTTTTTTAATCAGTAGCCTTATCATCCACAAAGATAATTCAGAAATATCCCTCATCTGATTTGTATCTATGGGCACAGTCACTGTAATTCCTTCTAATCAGTTCTCTTCAAAGCCAGCAGCATTTGTAAGGGTGTTATTAATTATTGTAAAGGGTTTGTTGCAACTTGACACAGATTTGTTGTAATAACATTGTCTGTAATTATTGGTGGCAAAGTGAATTATGCACAGCTGTTTACATTTTCACACAATATTTTGGTTGTTCATTAATAGGGATGCACCATATACATGTATTGAGATTCTGGCTGATAGCAATATGTCAATAGTTAATTTCATGTTATGGTCAATACTCGAAAAATGGCTAATGTTAAAATTTGGTGCTATTTTGTCTAAATAAATTACAAAAAAAGCTCTTTAAAAATACAGAGTTCTGGCATGAAACTCTAGATGGCGCAGTCCGACGTGCAGTAAGGTACGTAAAAACGGTGTTGCAGAAATGTACGCAGAGGTACGTATTTTTATGAGACTGGGTTGAAATTACCATGCCAATCCCTCCCGAGAGTTGTCATGACAGAAATAAAAATCAAACGTTTTACAAATGCATTAAGCATCACAATAAGATAATATTTGCTGAAGATTACATTTAACAGGGTTATTAATTTTTTAAAGATGAACCTTTAAGTAAATTACCATCCTACAATATATTTTGCATCACTATTAATTTATAATTGTGCTGAGCTTTAACATCCCATCAGATAATTTTAAATATGATTGATTATCTCACAAAATGCTTTTAAATCTCAATGGTATGCTTGTGTGATAATGATTGGCATTTGTTTTGAAGCATATGACTTTATGCAGCTTGTAGTCATGAGAGTGATTTCTAATAGCTTTTTCAGATTTGTTTAGATCCACAGGGAGCATGAAGCAGGTTAAAGAGATGACCCCTATCTCAACTCTTCTTTTTCTTAATTCTTGCCCGTACTCTCAGAACCGCCTCTCACCTCAAGCTTTATAATAAATGTACTAAAGGCCAAACGTACACGGGGGATTGTAGAGATGAGTGAGTTTAAAATAAGCCCTCACTGCCAGTGATTCCTTTCTCTCTAATGAGCAACTCCATCTCCTATTGTTTATTCTTCTTCATATTTTACACCCTCTGTGGGAGTAGATGCTGCACTGGAGCTGAGGGATTTGAGGGGAAAATCCTCATTGCGCTTGGCTGGACATTACCCTGTGGGTATTTGGCTCAGACCATGAAGCTAAGCAAAGCGCACAATTCCTGCAGTACTCCATCAGCGACTCCTCTCTGTAGATTTAGCATATAGACCTGTGCTGCAGACTGCGCAGCTGCTCGAGTGCAAATGGAGGCAGTTTGAGACCTCTAGTAAATCTCACACACATCCTCCCTTCAGCCTTTCGTGTTCGACATGACTTCAAAGTTTCCATACATGCCATATGACTTCTCCCGTGTTTCCATTTTTCCCTTCATTGTTATAAAATGTTCAGTTGTAGTGCTGTGTTTGCATCTGGTACGCATCTCTCACTCTCTAGTGCGAATCATGTCTCTCATCGCATTAACTGCTCATACTGTGATGAGAACCCATAACATTCAAATAGAAAAATGATCCTAATGTGTTTGGAATTAAAGACTGTGGGTGTCCTGTTGACAGAAGTTCGCTTGTGTGTGTGTGTATTGGTGTTTGTGTATTGGTTTTTGTGTTTGTGTGTATTGGTGTGTGTATTGGTGTTTGTGTGTGTGTGTATCGTGTGTACTGGTGTTTGTGTTAGCTCAACAACCAAGCTTTTTTTTCATTAAGTTTCACTTAGATTCTTAAATACGTTATTTTCTTGTGTAAGCCTCATTTGCTTACTTTTTGCTTACAAGCTGTTGTAAAACTGCAATTTTCCCCCTTTTTTTTTTTGGTTTAAAGATACTGTATGTGTGTCTTTATGCACAGCTGGATGTAAGTCTCCTTTTTATGCAATATTTCTGAGGCTAAAATGTACACATGGTGCAGTTTCACCCACTGTCAAGAGACCAGGAGTTCGATTTTAGATAAAATTGTTACCCAATTGCCCTGGTTCATCTAATCATTTCTGCGTACTGATGAAACTAGTAGCCTTATTATGTTGTATTTACGTTCATATTTGTTCCCCCTGCTCTTTGTTACAGGGTTACTGTATGTTTGCTTTTTAAAAAAGAGAAGGAAATAGGCATTGGACCAACTGCAGACTTGTTTTTCTCTAGCGTCTCTGGTCGCGTACACCGTGTAAAGTTTTGAGAAACATGTAAATATTACTGTTTAATTTTTTTCTTAGTTGGAAGTATTAATGTAATTTGAAATTAATACTTTCATTCAGCAAGGATACATTCAGTTGATCAAAAGTGAAAGACATTTATAATGTTAAAAAATTCAATTTATCAAAGAATCCTGAAAAAAATCTAATTTTGCACAAAAATATGAATCAGCACGACTATTTATAACTGTAATAATAAAAAGGAATGTTTTTTGAGCTCCACGTCAGCATAATAAAATGATTTCTGAAGGATCATGTGACACTGAAGACTGGAGAATTACATGAGAAGTCCATTTTAAATGTAATTATGTTTCCCTAATAGTTATTATTTAACAAATATGTCTTGTATAACTCCTTAAATTTATTATTAAATATCATTTAATTAAAATGGTAATTACATGTGTCAAATGAGTCATGTACTGTAGACATGCACTGTACGTCTTTTCCATATTATTTGTTTACACCATACTAGAAGAAGAGAAACAAACATCTCTGATATGCTTTTAATAGCGCCATTAACAACTATGTGTTCTGTAGACACGTCGTTATCACTTCTTGAATTGTTCAAGACTTTGCCTGTCGAATGCGGCTGTCACTCCTGTAAATAACCCAACTCTGTGTTCAAAACAGGATTAAACAGAAGTGACAACCGCATTCACCTGCATGTGGCCTCTGTGACTTTTTTAACCACACAACAACAAATCTCATTGCCTTAGTCAGAGCATCCTGGCCAGTCTCAGCGCTGCACTGATTTATTTGGCAAGAAACATTGTGGTCCCACAGCCTGGCAGTGGAGTACCGCTGTTCTCCATAATCGCAGTGAAACAGAACGCCTCAGCAGCCCTCAGGGCAGCCCGTTTGTCTGTATAGATCAGTGTGCCAGATGGGAGTCCGTGTTCTGGGATCTAATGCATCATCCCACTGTTAAGAGCCCTAGCCGCAGAAAAGACTCCTGCAGTGTCATAGATTGCAACAATTAGTTTAAAAGGGAATGCAAGTGGGTCATCCTTCAGTATATATCCTATATAATATTCACACTGAAATCCATAATAAATTTTGGCATGTTAATAACAAGTAAATGGCAAGTGACTAGTGTTATTTAGATTGAAGCTTGGTCATGATAGAGAAAAACAGTTACATTAAATTCTGTTCCTTATGGATGCCTGTTTAAAACAGCATAACATTTCACATTTGCAACTTTATATGTCACAATATGACTATTTGTTTTATTTTAAACTTGATCTCACAATTACCTTTGTACTCTGAGGCGTAAGCTAAACAAGCTTCTTTAGATTCCCAAGCATGGCACAGTATCGATAACATTCAGCTGCTGATTTCCTGTTTTGTTGTTAATGATTTCCTGCAGAACACTTTCTTTTTACTGGAATGCCATTAATGATTCTGATAATTGTCTAGTTTTGGTTTGATATGATAAGAAATGATTGCCTAATAGTGTGGTGGGGTGCTAGAGCTCTTTTGGATTTTATGTTATTTCAATATAATGTGGATAATTAGCATAAAAAAGTCTATAGTCTGTTTAAACAGATTGAACAGATTGATTTTTGTTTGGTTTGTTTTCCAGGCATTCCGTTGGCCAATCGGGAGTCAAGTGGACGGCGACGAGATGCTGGAGATACAAGTGTTTAATTACAGCAAAGTCTTCACTAACAGGTATAAGAATTAAATAATTTGATATGCAACATCAGATCAGCTAAAAAAGATTTATTGACACACATCTCTATAGATTTAAGAGTATATGTTTAGAAAATACAATCTAATCAAGACATGTACAAGAATTCTTGCAGTCTTAAAGGGGTCGTATGATGTTGCTAAAAAGAACAGAAACACACGGCGGGCTAGAGTGAGCGGAGGCCGGCGGATTCGACAAAGGAGCGTCTGGTGGGCTTGCGGCAACCACATGTGACGACCCCAGGCTGGACTCCGCTTCGTCCACGGTGAAAGCCGATCCGGCGGTCCACAGCGCGAAGTTGATGTATTTCCTCAGCGGCCAGCACGGATCAGCTCTAGGCATGACGAAGCGGATATCGTCCTCTTTTGGAAGACCAAACAAAGTAGTTTCGCTTTCACAACGAAACACACAGCGCCTTCATGACATGGCGGCGGCGGCGGCGGCGGCAGCAACAATACTACAGCGAGAATAAAAGTTACGCCTTCTTTCTTTGCGTGAACATTTGGGAGGCGTTATGCAAATCTTCCCACATCGTGACGTAGACATTTGGGGGCGTGTTAGAACGAGCCGTTTTAGGTAGGCATGGTTGACTCTTAACTTTTATAAAGAATATCTCTTTGGATTTGAGACTTTAGTCTTTGCAACTTTACAGATCTTCTTTATGCACCAAGAGCTTGTAACACTTCAAAGAGAAAGGAAAAACTGAAATCGCATCATATGACACATTTAACAAATCTGAACAAGATGTTGAGTGAAGCAAGGCTATAAACAAAGCCCAAAATACATTTCCATTTAATTCAAGTAATTAACATTCATGGCTTCAACCTGTGGTCTCCAAACAAACTTCAGCAACACAGCACTGGTTATTTAAATATTCTCTTAGACAAACTAAGGCTTGTTTGTTTTGCACCAAGTCTTTGTTATTTCCATCTGACCATATAGGACCTCATAACTCATAATTGCTGAACTCTTTGTAATGCTGGTTTTCATAATCATGCTGTTTTGACAGTCCATTTGCAGTGTTGACAATTTGAGGTATTTTTAGATAATATTATACATGATAACTACAGGGATGAGGCCACATTTGACAATTCCTACTGCAGGATTTGCACTATAAACATTTATTGTATTTTTAAAAAAAATGTACTACAACCATTATAGTATTATATATTATAAGTGTTGTAATATATATATATATAAGTGTTTATAAGTATTATATATTATAAGCGTTTATCTCTCCTTTATGGAAGCCTGTTTCTGCCACTGAATAAAAAATAAAAAAGGTAATGTGAGTTTTTATCTCACAATTCTGACTTTTTTTCTCGTGGTTGTGAGTTTATATCTCGCAATTCTGACTTTTTTCTCAGAAGTTTGAGTTATAAAGTCCAATTCTGAGGGGGGGGGGGAAAGATTGATATGTTCTCAAAATTGTGAGTTTAGGCCTATATCTCACAATTCTGACTTAATAACTCGCAATTGCGTGTTAAAAAGTCAAAATTGTGAGATATAAACTCGCCATTCTGAGAAAAACAGTCAGAATTGTGAGTTTATATCTCACAAATCTGACTTTATTTCTCAGAACTGCAAAATACAGTACAGAATTTTTAGATTTTAAAAATTATTTTCTAAATGATTTGAATGTTTCTCTTCATGTTTATAAATAAATTAATAAGATGTTTTAATATTAATATAATGTTTTATTAGTTTCTTTCTTAGAAGAGTGGCAGTAAAAAATTCTAATTTACACTTTATAAAATTTATGAGATATTACAAATGAGAGAGCAGGCACAGGATAGAGATCCACCCTCTAGGTTCCGGTTATAGTATTTTCTAGAAGCTTGATGGGATGCAGTGCAGTGTTTTTTTCTGTACTTGTACCTGTCAGTATTCACTCTAAGTTTTTCCCTCACTGCTCTTTTTCTGAAAGAGTGCTGTGGCGTGTTTCCATCCACTGTCTTCCTCTAGAGGTGGTGGATAGGCTGACAGTCATTACTAGCTGTTCTCCACTGAATGTGTCCTGAAGAGTATGACACTCCTGCTGATGCAGGCGTCAGTGTGTGTATATATGGTTAACATCCTGCCGTTTCACTAGAATACATCAGATTCTAGATTGAGCTGAGATGTTAGGTTGCAGTGGTGTTAACAGATTCTCTGTTGCTCTTGCTTGTGAGCGAGTCTGATGTCTATTCCAATCTAAGTCAGTTCCACCAGTCTGGCTGCATCTACGTGACTAGTAAATCAAGTAAATCAACAGCTGTCAGTAGAAAAATCTACCATGACTAAGTTATTTTAATTATGGTGTGCAATCAATGGTCAGCGCTTTGTTTTGTAAAAAGTAATATACTACTGTAATATTATTACTTTTGTAATGCGTTACTCCCAACACTGGTTATCATAGGCATTGTTTGGAGTTCACAGACATCTATTGTGGTCTGAATGACACCTGTGAATAGATCACAATGTATAAGAAAAGCATCTGCTGAATAATTCACATGCCACCGTGACATATGTTAACCACGCAGCTCGTTAGCTATTTGTTTGTTATTTACAGATGTAATTTCTATCCATCATATGCATTACGTACTGTAGCTGACCGTATCGACAAACACCATGTGATACCCCGAGCTTTGCAAGCTCAGTAGATCGTGACAAAACACCAGGTGTGAGACCGATGTGTAGCTCAGAAACTCTATCTTCTTTATGCAAGACTTTAAGGTCATTATAAGACTTCCTATCCTTGAGAAGATTCATTCAACATTGCTGTTGTTATTTCATGACCAACTGACCACCAGGTGGAGATTTCTGCAAAGGCATTAATAGGATGCCGTCCTGCAATTAAAGTCAATATGAGAAAAAATCAAATGACTCAAAAGAGACAGTAAAGACGTTAAAATGATACAAAATATTTCTGTTTCAGATAATTGCATTTTTGTGCAAAATTCTGAAAAATGCATCATGTTTGCAATACTTAAGTACCAAATTAGCATATAAGAATTATTTCTGAAGACTGAAGTAATGGCTGGTCAAAATCCAGCTTTGCCATCAAAGGAAATTGGCTACATTTTAAAATATCTTAAAATTTAAAACATTATTTTAAATTGTAATAATAATTTGCACTGTTTTTGATCAAATGAAGGCAAAGAGAGACATTCAAAGATGAGAAACATTTAAAACGTCTTATAGAAACCCAAACTTTTTAACAAACTGTGTTTTAAAAAGTAGTGGGAGTTAGTTTAGAAGTAAGCTTGAGTCCAATGTAATGTAACGTTTTATGTCAGTGGATGTATATCAGAAGTTGGGCTGCATTTTCATGTATTTAATTTAGTGATATCACTGGAAGAGAGAGCTGTGCAGGAGAGAGCACTCCTGCTCTATAATAGGATCTGCTGCTGATGACAACTACAGCGAATATGCAGAAAAACAAATTCCAGCTCCAACACGGCCACTCATTATATTACTCACTAATGAAGTGAAAACTCCTGCTCAGCAGTTCCTTGGTATTACATACATACATCCCTGCTGTAAGTTATTTTTTCTCAGTTTTCAGTAGAAGAAAGGCTCATTGTCCTACTCAATGTTTTTCTCTTTTCTTTAATCTTTCCCTGTCTAGCTTGTTCTTGTTTGAACAATGCTTGAAACTTAATATTACGAGCACTTTCTGTGTCTATTTGCCTCTTTAAGATGAATCGCTTGATGTATTCCCCAATTGTAAGTCGCTTTGGATAAAAGCGCCTGCTAAATGAATAAATGTAAAAATGTAAATGTCAATGTCAGTGGTGGTTATGGCCTTTACAATAGCAATAAAGGTCATATTAGAAACAGTAAAGTAGTAAAAAGAAGTCAAGACTGGTTACCATTTAGAACACAGATCAGATCACAGATAATCAGAAATCAACTTGACTGTGTCATACGAATAAGACTAAATTTGTTTCAGTATATTGTAGGAAATTAATTTGGTGGTTGAGTAATGCTTGGAAAAAAACATGTTCTTTTTACATTACCTTAGTAAATTTGGGTATTGATGCATGGTCTTTACATGGTCTACTTATAAAATGACTGCAAATTAATAGATATTTTAGCTTTTAGCTGTTCATTTCTAAACCCTCACCCAGTTAGTCAAAGGCTTTTGAATTCTCCAGTTCTGACCTCTTCAACAAAAGTCTAGTGACTTGACAAGGCAGGACGCAGTAAATTATGGAGCAGATGAAAGTCAATTGTATGTTGTTTGTTCAGAGGATCAATAATGTATGTGTGGTCTTTAGAAAAGTTGATCAGGAGCCAGAACCTGATCCAGGATCAGTGAATTATTCACCCGTGGATGTATGCGGTTCACCGACAGTCACAAAGCCATTATTTCACCACTGAAGTGGGCACATATCAATCACAATGGTCGTTTTTCCTTTATCGAGTCCCTCTGGATGAACAATGGTGCTGAGTGTGTCATTTCACATCCGAATACAGCTGTAGCTCAGAGGCAGGTGCTAAAACTGTTAGCAGTTTAAGTGGTTTGATGTGTTTTCTCATCAAATTCACTGACTACATGGATAGACCCGCCTGTCTTTCTCTTGCTGACAGTGATGCAGTAATAGACAAGAGAGAGTGTGTGTAAGCTAACTACATGTGGCATTTAATTGGTCAGTCCAGAGGTTCTGATTGCTTTTCTTCACTGCATGTCACTTTTCATACAGAGAGTTGAGTTAACAATCAGAACAAAGACACATCACTATCGCCCATGTGTTTGTTGATCTTCTTATGTCTGAATTGTTTGCTTCTAAATTCATGACAGACATTGTGGTTACATACAAAGCATGTGTTTGTGTTGCTGGGAGTGATTGCATCTTTCTTGTTGTAATAAAGAAATTAAACTTCTTTTTTATTGGAAAATGTCTACCTGATTCACAGACGGGAAAGTATTCAGTATTGATTAAACAATAAAATATATATAATTTAATAGTGTTATTTCTTTAACAGTACACAGCCAATTATTTTTTTATGCTGTTAAAGGCTGTTTCCTAACTAAAAATAAATGAATAATGCTTTTGGGGGAAAAAAGAAATCTTGTAACCCCATAAAAGTTCAGTCATATCAGTAGTCTTATAATAGCTGTTTTACCTGAATGCTATTTTTTGTTTTAAAGTAATTAATACTTTTATTCAGCAAGGACAAAATAAATGAGTCAAAACAGTAATTACTTTTAAATTGTTACAAAAGGTTTCCTTAAAATAAAAGCTGATATATTTAACTTTCTATTTATTTATTAAAGAAGCCTGGAGAAATGTATTACAGTTTCCACAAAATATTAAACAGCAGCACAACCATTTTCAAGTGTGATGCACAATTTTCTTGAGCACCAAATCAGCATTTCTGAAGGATTTTTAAAGGATGAAACCTTTGCCTTTGTCATCACAGCAATAAATTATGTTTTAAGATATAGAAAAAATAGCAGTTATTTTAAAAAGAAAAATATTTCACAATATTACTGTTTTTGCTGTATTTTCTGTATATTCTTGAAAAATCATAGAATTTAAACAATAGTATAATTAATCATGGCTGACTGTTAATAATACCAGTAGTAGTACATTTATAAAAATAGATAAAGATATTGTCTTTGAAGTTCATGATATTTGTCTCAGCTTTACATACTTCAAATATTTTAGTTCATGTAGAGTTTATTTTGTGTGTGTGTGTGTTTCACAGTGTTGCTATTTTTCATTCTCTGTCACAGTGTATTTTCCTCACTGTGACCAAACCACCCTTATAAGTTCAGTGCACATTGGGCCAGACCAAAGTGAGTGAAGGGAAGTATTAGATTGTTATTTAACACAGCTGTCTGACTCTTTTGTGTGTGTGTGTTTGCAGGTTAATTGGCACTTTCCGCATGGTTCTGCAGAAGGTGGTGGAGGAGGGTCACTTGGAGGTGTCTGACACTCTTATTGACGACAATAACACAGCCATACGGGTGAGACGTGAGGATCGCAGGCAGTGTGTGTGTGCATGTTTATGTTCTGGTCTGACAGATCAGAAATTTTTTTTTTAAGAAATTAATACTTTTATTCAGCAAGGACAAAATAAATTGTTCAAAACAGTAATTACTTGTAATTACTATTAAATTGTTCACAAAAGATTTCCTTACAATAAAAGATGATTTAACTTTCTATTTATCAATGAATCCTGGAGAAATGTATTACAACTTCCACAAAATAATTAAACAGCACAACCATTTTCAAGTCTGATGATAATAGTAAATTTTCTTGAGCACTAAATCAGCATATTAGAATGATTTCTATAGGATTTTTAAAGGATGAAAACTTCGCCTGTCGTCATCACAGGAATAATTATGTTTTAAAATATAGAAAAATAGATAAGTTATTTTAAATTGAATAATATTTCACAATATTACTGTTTTTGCTGTATTTTTGATCAAATAAATGCAGCTTTCAAAAATATTACCAACTTTAAACAATAGTATAATTAAACATGGCTGACTGCTAATAACAGTAGCAGTAAATTTATAAAGTTTAAAAATAGATATTAAAAAAGCCGTAAAGATATTGTCTTTGAAGTTCATGATATCCATCTCAGCTTTACATACTTTAATATTTTATTTCATGTATAGAGTCTATTTGTGTGTGTGTGAGTGTGTTTCTCACAGTTTTGTTATTTTTCATTGTCTTTGTAGTTGTCACAGTGTATCTCCCTCACTGTGACCAAACCACCCTTTTAAGTTCAGTGCGCATTGGGCTGGACCAAAGTGAGTGAAGGAACGTGTTAGACTGTTGTTAAACACAGCTGTCTGACTGATCTTTTTGTGTTTGCAGGTTAATTGGCACTTTCCGCATGGTTCTGCAGAAGGTGGTGGAGGAGGGTCACTTGGAGGTGTCTGACACTCTTATTGACGACAATAACACAGCCATACGGGTGAGACGTGAGGATCGCAGGCAGTGTGTGTGTGCATGTTTATGTTCTGGTCTGACAGATCAGAAATGCTCTTTTTTCAAATAGCACACCCACTCACAAAAACATCCATTCACATATTTCACCACAGGGGTCTGGTTTTGTAAAACTTGCACAAAAAATTTGTTGTCATGGTTACATGTCTACTCGGAGGCTATAAGGGACCATTCAGTTTTATTTCTCTCTCTCTCTCTGATATCCACCATCATGTGCAGGTTGATTTCCGTATGGATCCTGTTCATCTCTATGCGTCAGAATAATTAATAGCAGCTCTATGATAAAATGTATCGGTTTAGGTTGGAGGTGTTATATTAAACATATTTTCTACATTAATCCTCCTTTGTTGATCTGCTGCAGTGATAGTGAACACTGACTGGTCCTTAGTTATGTTTTGTTTTGCTTAGGGCGATGCAGTGTCATTCATTCATTTTACAGGAGATTGAATAGAAGCTTCCTGAAACTAAATTAAAATATTGTGGATAGGAAAACAAAAACTTTCCAAAAGGAGAGGAGCCATATTCCAACACACATTCTGTTCAAACATTTCTCCTCAATTTCTATTTCTTACTCTACTCAGAGCAATACTTGCACTATTGTAACATTTTTTTGATTGTTGCATCAACAAAGCAACTTTTTATGAAATTATGTAAGCAAAATTATACCACTTTCATGCAACTTAGTCTTTTGATGGATTTTTTTTTTAATGTTGAGATGAGACCTCAGGAAAGCTTTAAATTTGTCTTGGTTAATTAAAGCAGGGGTTATATCTAAGTAAAGTTGCAGCAGGGCTCAGGTTCCCCCTTTTGTATGACATTTGCCCTTGGGAGAAGTGACCATCAGGCAGTTGACAGGGATAAGATGGACTGAGGCTAAATTGTTCCTTGTTCCTTCTAATGAGTTTGTAAACATGAGAAGGATAGGGTAACTGATGCTGACAGACTGATACTGCCACATGGGTTAGCATGACCCTAACCCTAACACTTAACTCTAACACCTAACGTTCTACCTCTCTTCAGCTTTGTCAGGATTACAAAAGTGTCAAATTAAGTGTCTTTATTGCTTGTGAAGCCTGTGAACTAGTTAGTGTTTACTTAGTAATTAAGTTCAGTTTTGTACAGAACTTACTTTAAATAAAATGCATAATAAGACATATTTATGTTTCAAATTATATTATATTATATTATATTATATTATATTATATTATAAAAAAAAAAAAAAAAAGTGAAATAAATATGTACTGGTGTATTAATTATTTGACATAAATATGCATATTTAATTTTCATTCATTTATTTATTTATTTATTTATTATTTTGAATTTCAGACAAGTATTTCCATAGAGATCAAATATCAGACCATGGACGGGAGTGTGAAGGTATGGAGCGATGGTGAATTCCTTGATATTCCAGATGACTGTGATGGAACTTTCCAGTTTGAGACAGAAAGTCTACTCTCTGGACGCAGCCAGAGCTCTGGGACATCACCTGGACGTTCTATCCACGGCATTCCCACATTCCGCAAGTAAGTGTGTCATCTTCTCCAGCCTCAGTTAACACAATCACCCTCATCATCATCCTCTTTATGCAGTGGCACAGATAACTCTGTGATGATAATGGTGATGAAGAAGATAATGAGGAGGAGTAATAAAGAAGTAATCTAACTAAACATATACATTTGTTCATCGCATTAACAAATAATCTTATTCGCACATCTTTTCACTGTGTGGACATTTTTGCTGAATAATGAAGACATGGATGACTGGAATGTGTGGGATGCATTGATTTCCACTAAGCCTTCCAGTCTCCACAGGTCCTCTGATCTATAAATTAGAACCATACACAGACACAAACGTACTCCATCATGGTTTGTGTGTGGGCATCATTAGTGTTTCTGTGTGGATGTGTTCAAATGCTGATGCATATGGATGATTACTGCTAGAAAAATCTATATTGGGAAAGTTGTTTAAAGTTACTACTAGGTAAATTAAAGCAGCCTCAAGAGATTTGTAGGTGGTTTTGGATTGATTTGAAAGCCCCATTTCATTTAGATCTTGCATTTGATATTGGGAATTAACTAGTGAGTATTCAACCAATAAATCTTATTTTTATTGAAACAAATAGTGATCCTGGAATTCAAGTATTCTTTCTGTTTTAAATTGATGTTGTGTTTAGCAAGTGATTTATCAGAGCTGTTTATCTGTTCTGATTGCTTACTCAGTTTTTATGTATTATTTCAAGTAAATCTCCACGAAGACAATCTATTTCATTTAAACTTCAAATTTTCCATATTATTGTGACTTCTTATGTCTTCATTCTGATAATATAAAGTGATGCTCCTAGTTTGAGTGATTTTATATCTATATGCTACTCTGTTCATGTTGCCTCTGGATGTGGGCCTTTACTTCATGCAGGATAATTTCTTGTTAAGAGAGTTATTATTAATAAAGTAAATGAGAAGAGACAGCAAGAGGAGAGAACACAAGGAATCGTTCAGGTCTGAATAAATTGGATGTGATATGATCACATTTCATTATGCATTGCATAGTTGGCATAGATGACAGATGCAAAGTCAGACAAACAAACACACACATGCACACCAGAAAAGTGAATTACTTTTCTCAACTCCTTTCTGCACACTAGCAAGCAAGAAATGCATTTGGAGACCTTAAACAACATATTTTCTGTTTCTGACCGGAAAGAGTGAGCACAAAACCACTGCCTTTCATGCTTTATGGATGACTTTTGAGCTCACACAGAGAGTTACTCTTTCAAAGACCTTGAGCCTTTTTAAAGAGTTAGAGCCTATGTTTTTTGTTCCAAGTTTCTTCCTAGTTATGAACTGAATATACTTTTAAGAGTCTGGCTTTACTACTACTTTGCATTTCACAGCAATTAGCGTCTTTTACCACTTTGAAGAATTAATATTAATTACAAAATGCATGTATTTGTGTATCTACTTATAAAGGTTAAACAGTCTGGAAACAATTGTCTTTAGAGATTTCTTTTAGACACTTAAACGTTATTGTAACATTATGTAGTCATGTTAATTGTCATATTAAATAATTAAAAAAGATTTCCTAATTTTTTTTTTTGTTTACTTGACATTGACATTTTTAATAATATATCCCTCTGTTCTCACTTGAACCTCATTCCTGGTGCTGTTTCATTATTGATTACAAGTCTTAGTTGTACAGTTTTACTTTTAAAAGTGTGTGAGAGTTTTTTGGAGTTTCTCTATGAAGAAAGTGTATGTGTGTGTGTGTGTTTGTTGTACGGCTGAAGTTGCCAGGACCCAGTGGGACATGGTGAAGCTTCTGTTCTGAAGTAACTGCCAGTCCTCTCTAATGACTAGACCCCTCTCTCATCTCCCCCTCTCTCTCTCTCTCTCTCTCTCTCTGAGGTGAAAATAATGAAAAGTAGATCTGTCAATCTGGCCTCATCAGCCTCACGACATCCTTTAGCTGTAGCAGTGTTTCTACTTGGGGGAAAACCCCTGTGTGTGTGTGTGTGTGTTGTAGGCTTGGTTGTGTGCAGGCAGATTGACTCTCAGTGAGGAGAACCCCTGGCTCATCATCACAGAGATTTAGAGATCACACAACATACAGAGCTTGCTGATATGCCTGCGCACACAAATAGAAGTATCATCCCACCCTCCAACGCCCCAAAAAGGGGAAAAGGCACACAGTTCAGACACTCCCACCCCACATAATGTCAGTTATGTAAGCTGTAAAGTTCTGCTGTCAACTTTTTTTATTTCTCTATCTGTCACGCTGCTACTCAACATTTAAAAAAACAATGTTGAGATACACTCAATGGGACCCAGTGGGACATGGTGAAGCTTCTGTTCTGAAGTAACTGCTAGTCCTCTCTAATGACTAGACCCCTCTCTCATCTCCACCTCTCTCTCTCTCTCTCTCTCTCCCATCTTTCTGCTTTATCTCTTTCTAGCTATTCTCTTTCACTCTCGTTTCTTTCCCTATAGAATCATGAGTCTGCCTACTTAAACTTGCACTGAAACTGTGCTTTCCATACTCAGATATTCTGTATGTAACAGTCCAATATCCATAGACAGTTGCAGGAAATAGTATGCCCCCCACAAAAAAACATTTAATTATTTGCAAGAAACACTGATGGATTTCTCTTCAGGCAATGCATCATGTGACCTAATACCAGCTTGAAGACCAGCTAAACTCGTTTAAACCATCTAACCACCGTAGATTGGTTGAAGTTGTTGGAATTCCCAGTTCTGATCAGATTCATTCTCATAGCCTGCTGTTTGTAAGGCAAGCTTAATCATGAGAGCAGGAGCGTTATTCTCTTGAGCTTAGTACAACGACGGACGATAGCTTACAGTCAAATGAAACTTTACAGAACAAAGGCATTTGCACAGGGATGTTTGTCACTTTAGAGCTGTTGCATTACTCTAGTGGTTCAGTTCGCTGTCTTTGTTGAAGTTTAATGTTCATTCTCAATCGCTCCATTCTTTAGTTCTTCTCTCCTCCTCCTTGCATAAAACTGTCACTTTGAACCCCCATATACACTTTAGAAAGTAGGGCACAAAAGCGCAAAGGCGCTCATTGTTTAATAATTCATCAAATTAATGAAACAGAATTGTGCTTCTTATTCATTTACGCATTGCTGTAAATGGAGAAACTGACAAAAATACAAAGGAGACATATTAAAACTCATGTCTCTGCTGAATAGTGTTTAAACTGTCTTGTTTAAAACTGAAGAAGCCTATCTATCTATGTTTATAATTTTAGAGTGACCAAGAGGGAAAATAATAATCTTAATACTAGGCTACTGTATGGTACCCCACAACTTTGTTCTGATCAGTGATTTGACAAAGAATGTGCTTTGAGTTTCTGTTTTAGCTTAGTTTATGTGGCAAGAGAAACTAGCCTCCGACACCAAGGTCTCCCAAGCGCTTGAGCGATACATAATTCATATGCTGCTTTATGCTTTTTAATGCATCTCATTTATCTCTGTTTAAATGTATTGCTTTGCATTTATTCCATGTCATGGTTGAGGAATGGCCTGTGATATACTCTAAAACTTTCATTGATGTGAATGATCTTCTCTATTTTTGAGTGTCTGTGCCTTTTTCTTGCCAAATGAAATTCAGCTAGTCTCCAAGCCTGGTTAAGATGTTTTTTAACTGGTTTAGTTGTAATGTTTTGTTTAGTACAGTACAGATACATGATCACACACAAGCACAGAAAAAATTATCTGTAAAATGAATAACTTAGTTCTAGTGGTGCATTTTAATGTTTACACCACTGTTCATAAGTTTTGGGGGAGGGGTTATTTTTGGAAGACATTAACACTTTACTTTCAGAAAGGATGCATTAAATTGATCAAAAGTGACAGTAAAGACATTTATAATGTTACGAAAGATTTCTATTTTAAATAAATGCTATTATTTTGTATTTTCTAGTCATCAAAGAATCCTAAAAAATGTACCATGGTTTCCACAAAAATATTAAACGGCACAACTGTTTTCAACATTGATAATAATAAAACAATTATTGAGCACCAAATCAGCATATTAGAATGATTTCTGAAGGATCATGTATCACTGAAGACTAGAGTTTTAACTGCTAAAAATTCAGCTTTGCCATCACAGGAATAAATTACATTTTAAAACATTAAAATAGAAAACAGATATTTTGAATACTAATACTTTTTCATAATATTACTGTTTTACTGTATTTTTGATCAAATAATGCAAGCCTTGGTGAGCATAAGAGACTTTTGAATGATAATTTGTGTTCAGTCTTATTCTAACTTTTTGTGTAGTCTTGACATACTACAGTTTGAGGATTTCAATATATATATTTTATTTGTGTTCTATCACGTCTGAATGCCTCTAGCAAATACAAATGAAGTGCCTTTCACATTTCTCTGCCAGGTGTCAAGTTCTCTCCTTTCATTATTGTGTTGACAGTTGTTGTATTGTTTGTATTATGTTACAGGTACAGGTCATAATTCTTAAACAGGGTTCAGAATAATTGGTTTTGGATCAGTGACTTTTTTGTGCATACAGTTTAGCATCTTCACTCATAATATCTAAAATGTCACTTGCTCACACTAAATTATATGCAAAGGTCACTCTTCATTAAACTGGGGGAAGGGGGATTACAATCTTTATTAAAGTGGGTTTGTCGTTTTGCTGAGGTTTCACTTCTTAAAGAAACATCAAATGGTCTAGTCAATATATATATAGACTGAGATAGACTATTTGAAAGCCAAATAAAAGTGCAGCATTTTGGCATTTAATGAGGGAATTAAATGTCTCAAGTGCTTCATTGATTGACAGTGTTCACAAATGTCCTTCTCCTAGGCATAAAAAATAGTGTCTGCTCCATTGTGTCCTGCTCAGAGCGCAATCTGAGACTCTGGCTTTGTTCTCTATAGCAACGCTGTCCATCAGACTGATGATTTACTGAACATCCTACAGTATGTAGACTAAACAAGTTAGTGCTGAATGACTGGCCTACATACAGTAGACCTACTGCACAGAAGTAGCTCCAGTAAATCCCAAAGACCTGCAGAACTGCCGTTGTTTGTGTTGTCAAGTCGTATCTGTGGGTTGCCTGTTTCTCCTTGACTGCTGAACTGAAGCCTTTGATTAAACAGCGCTGGTCTCATCACGCTCTAAAAATCATCTAATTAGTGTTAGGTTACCTTATCATGTACAATATACAATCCAGTCTTTTCTTCTTGATTTTGTCCACTCTAATCATAGGTAATGTTCTAGTGAAAGTCCAAACATAGTCTGAAGTGTTTTAATATATATTTTAGTTTGTTTTTGTGGTGACGCCTAGATGACATAGTTGAGGTTAATAAGCTGTAAACTGTCCAATTACAGTTTATTTGCATTATCTGATAACCAAAGCACATTTGTAATTGGTAAATTGGTATTTATTTTTTAATCAAAAATACAGCACAAACAGCACTGTTGTGAAATATTATTACAATTATTTGTAATTAATTCCTGTGATGGCAAAGTTGATTATTAATCCAGTCATTAATCCAGTTTTCAGTGTCATATGATCCTTCAGAAATCATTCTAATATGCTAATTTGCACCCTAAGAAACATTTAGTAGATGTATACAACAGTAAGTTTTACTTTATTTAATATGGGTAATTATAGCAGACACATCTGTAAGAGAGTGAGAGTGAGTGAATGTGGATGTGTATTGTTGTGTGTCTATGTGTGTGTGCGTGAGGTCACGTACTCTCCTGTTACTTTTTCACTCATACCTGGTCATCATCTCAGGTTCTCACTTATTGTGGACGTCCCGTTTAGTCTGAGAAGTGTCTCTTTGCCTGTGTGTTTTGCTTGGATATGGACTAGCAACTGAAAATGGGCATATAGTACACTAGTGAGGAATACCTAATTTTTTACCCTGAGTGCCTCGGCATACATTTCTCTATTGGTTAGTTTTTGCTGGTTGTCAGCGCGTGGTGAGTATCCTGTATATGTGAGTGAGTTTGTTCCATTGTGCAGTTCAAAGATTTGTTAAACTAAACCTGCTTAATCTGTGAGTATCAAGTTCTGTTGATAAGAAAAAAATTCAAAGCTTAATTTAGCTTGTTTTATGGTATTTATTTTTTAATCAAAAATACAGCACAAACAGCACTGTTGTGAAATATTATTACAATTATTTGTAATTAATTCCTGTGATGGCAAAGTTGATTATTAATCCAGTCATTAATCCAGTTTTCAGTGTCATATGATCCTTCAGAAATCATTCTAATATGCTAATTTGCACCCTAAGAAACATTTAGTAGATGTATACAACAGTAAGTTTTACTTTATTTAATATGGGTAATTATAGCAGACACATCTGTAAGAGAGTGAGAGTGAGTGAATGTGGATGTGTATTGTTGTGTGTCTATGTGTGTGTGCGTGAGGTCACGTACTCTCCTGTTACTTTTTCACTCATACCTGGTCATCATCTCAGGTTCTCACTTATTGTGGACGTCCCGTTTAGTCTGAGAAGTGTCTCTTTGCCTGTGTGTTTTGCTTGGATATGGACTAGCAACTGAAAATGGGCATATAGTACACTAGTGAGGAATACCTAATTTTTTACCCTGAGTGCCTCGGCATACATTTCTCTATTGGTTAGTTTTTATATATATATATATATATATATAAAAATATATATATATATAAATATATAATATCTTTTTGTGACCTGATGCACTTAACAAAACATGCCTGATGCATATGATGCAATTTCTATACTCTGATCTCATATTAACACTCGTTTGTTTGATATAACTTCATGTTTGACTGCGTATGTATTTTAGAGGGGCTTAGACTTATTTAGACTTATGAGGAAAAAAACTAATGAATTAATGAATAAAAGTTTAAAAAGTAAGCTCTGAAGACTTTCTCTTCAGTGTCACTCTGATATGATGGCACTGATTCAAAGAAAAAGATTTTAGAAGGTGTGCTTCCATCATAAGGCTGAGATGCAAAAAAAGACTACATTACAGAATAATGTTTGAAAATGTTGAAAAAAAGTATCTGCATTTGCATAATCAGTCCTGGTTTGACAGTTGATGTCCTATTATTTGGTGATTTACGTAATACATCCAAAAAATGGAGAAGTCTGTGATCTTGATACATTTTCACTCTGTTTAAAATGCTCAAAGGAAATCAAGAGACAAAACGATCTGGAATTCTTTCATCTTGTCCTGAGAAAGTATCTATATCCACAGATCACAGCTAATTGGAGAATTGTGCCCATCTTGTTGAATAATTAAGGACCGTTATTTGTCCAGCCGGCCTGTGACATCATCAGGCCTTTGTAGGTGAACTGATATCTAATCACCATAATATCAGTGCAGAGTTATTGGACACCACTGGGGCTATTGTGAGTGGGGTCTCGCTGTTGAAACGGGTGTCTCGTCTGAGTGATAAATATCACAGAAATTTTCCATCATGGGAAAACCTGTCGTGCTCCAGTAGTGATGATTTGATTGCAGTGCCTATAAGAGAATGAATACATCAAAATAAAGATAAAACTTGAGCTGTAGATCAAACATTTGTATATGGAAAGCATTTTGATACTTGAATTTATCTATTGAATCTATTGCACTACCTATGTGTTAGCCTTATGTATTAATAATTGATTTTATTGAATTGTGGAATGTATCTAGGTGGTTCACTGCTTTTTATACAATATCTATGTAACAGTCATATTTCTGAGTTTAAACTGGTATAAATTATTCAGTATCTGGGAGGCCCAGAGGTAGAGGTGATTTAAAAATGAATCACAGTGCAAATATTGTCACTTTTTTCCCCCCGTTCATGCCCATCTTAATGTTTGTTTTATATTGTAGGACAGGAAAAGGAGTGTTTTCAGCCATGAAACTGGGAAAGACACGCATCTCTAAAGATGACCACAAAAAAGGAGGTAAATAGTACTGATTATTAGAGAGCTGGTTTTACAAGAAAGGCAAATGTATTTATTTATTGATCGAGAGAGGAAAACAGACCAACTGAATTGGTTTTAGCTTACGGAGTATTTGTGCCTGCATTTTGGGTCAATTTAGTGCTGAAAGCACTAAAATAAGTTTATTGTACTTTTATTACCTTAACCTTAATTGTACTTTAAATCCATAGTTCTCTACTGGTTTTGCTTCAGGAGATTTTACATTGGACATCAATAGGAAAGACTAAAGAATCATAAAATTCTAATGCAATATCAACTGTTCTCGTTCGCAGATGACGCTGCCATTTTGGATGCAGAAGATCTGGATCGAAAGGGCATGCGTCTGGGTGGTGGGCTCGACCCTGATACCATCTCACTGGCCTCTGTTACTGCAGTAACCACTAATGTCTCCAACAAAAGGTCACATATCTGATGTGCACTTGGTGTATTTTTAAAGAAGTACACTTTCTCTTTTTTGAAGTTTTATCTGTTTGCATCCTTTGAAAAGGTCACAGGGAAGAAAATCATCAGTATTTCTTTTTCTGAGTGCTTGTTTTTTGTTTTCTTTCAAAATCCATTTTTGTTTTTTTTGAGGAGAAAGAACAGTTTATTGAGTTTCAAGTATGCATGTCTGTATTTATTTTATTTTATTTTATTTTAGCCACAACATAGACCTGCTTTAACATTGTAATTCAATTGATTAAAATGACTAATCAATTGACAGTCCTAGTTTGAATGTGTTTTATAAAGTTTAATCTTCACATTTTGTTTTTCAGATCAAAGCCTGACATTAAGATGGAGCCCAGTTCAGGGCGTCCTGTGGATTATCAGGTATGAAGACAGGCGAAAGAACACAGAGAGGAAGGGGGAGCTCAATAACATTCCCACATTACAAAAGACAATAACTCCAAGCCTTGAATTGCCAACCAGACATGTTAAACCAGTGGCATTTATCCTTGAGTAGTGTATTCTGCTCAAAGCCCTGAATATACAGAGCTGTCCCAAATAAACAACATCGGCCTTGAGCTTCAGTGTTTCAGAGAAGCCTTTGATGTTTACTTACTAATTGTCCTCTGCATGGCTGTTGTGTTGAGCAGTTGAATTGATAATTCGTTTCAGTACTGGCACTGTATAATTCCTTTAAATGCAGGAAATCCATATATCCCATGTGTGCTGTGTAAGTGTTTTTAGGTCATGTTAAATTTTTTTCTTATCTCTAACAGTTCATATTTTGCTGGAGGTTGGAAACTCTGCTTTCTGTCTTTCTCTTACATTAACATTTGGGACCCGCTTGCAGAATAAATCACTGCAGCAATAAGCAGTATTATTGTCTGCATTCTTCTGGAATCCAGCTTCTGTTGTTTTTCAGAGAGTAGTTTATTTGCTTAAATGTGTTTCATAAAAATGTAGCTTTGAAGTGTAATAAAGACAGTGCCAATGTAAGGAAAATAAGAGAGAGAGAGTGCAATTTGGTAGTTCATTCGAACTGTGCAAATCTGAATTAGATGGCTCTGCTGGTTTAAGAGCTAAAACTAAAAATACAAATATTATGATTTTCCTTCTCTTGACTAAGTGTGGCTTTGTTGTTTGTCCATATGCAGCCACAGATGTTTACTTTATGAATCTGTGATCCGATAGAATACTGTAGCTCATTTGTCATTTGATTCCCTAAAGCAAACTTGACTAATTAGCCCTCTACAGTAATAAAAACATAACAGATTACACACCCACGTTAATACAGCCTCATCAGTCTTAATCAGCATGTAAGACACACACCAGCTCAAGGTTTTATATCCTGTATGTTGTTTTTTTTTTTCAAATATATTATTTTTTAATTAATTATATTTTTTAATATCCCATTTAAAATGTGTTTCAGATCAGTGTAACAGTAATCGAGGCCCGTCAGTTGATTGGTTTGAACATGGATCCTGTGGTTTGTGTGGAAATTGGCGAGGAGAAGAAGTATACATCAATGAAGGAGTCCACAAACTGCCCCTACTACAATGAGGTTATATTCACATTGCTGAAAAATCTGGGCAAAGGAATTCTGTAATTTTAGACATTTTGACGGCCTGTTTACGGAATTATAACTGCAAGAATCATCTTACTTTATTTGGAAAGACAGATTATTTTGCACTTCCGCATGATAGTTGCTGTATCAACACGTAAATAATGCCTAAATCCACCCACATTGTTTGAAATGATGAATGACTTCATTTTATAAACTTCATATCCAGATTATTTCAATATTTTTCTCTATCTTCCAACAGTACTTTGTCTTTGACTTCCATGTGCCTCCAGATGTCATGTCTGACAAGATCCTGAAGATATCAGTGAGTAGATTAAGCCTTTGTTCACACTTTCAGCATACGATTATACATATTATAACATGCATGATTAAGTTCAAATAAAAATAAATGATTAAATTGTACTTCTGCTTTTCTCTCATGCTAAAATTAAGGTAATACATTCTAAAAACCTTCTACGAAGCGGTACTCTGGTGGGCACCTTCAAACTAGATGTGGGAACTGTTTACTCACTACCTGGTCAGTAACCAAGGAATAATGAAAATCTTATTAAGTAAGTGATATACCAATTAGATGGAAAAAGTCTTTTAATTGGTGCATGTATCTTACAGAGCATCAGTTCCACCACAAATGGGCAATGCTGTCGGACCCTGATGACATCACAGCCGGCTGCAAAGGTTACGTTAAGTGTGACATTGCAGTCGTAGGAAAAGGAGACAACATCAAGACTCCCCACAAGGCCAATGAAACAGATGAGGATGACATAGAGGGGTCAGAAACTGAGCAAATTCATGTATTTATTTATTTAGTTATGTATTTATTTATATATTGGAGTGCACTTTAGAGTCCCAGATGTTCATGAACTAAAGTTCACACTGTATTCTACAACATCTAAGGCTTTATTAATTAATTAATTTATTTATTTATTTATTTGAGTGTCATGTTGGTCTATTCTCTATGATATATTGCAGGAATCTTCTCTTGCCAGAGGGTATTCCATCAGAGAGACAATGGGCTCGGTTTTATGTTAAGATTTATAGAGCCGAGGGACTACCAAAAATGAACACCAGCATCATGGCCAATGTGAAAAAAGCTTTTATCGGGGAGAACAGGGATCTTGTGGACCCTTATGTCCTGGTGCAATTTGCAGGGCAGAAGGTAAGAAACACCTGAAAACACTCAATAAGAGATCAATATTTATATCAATTGAATTTTTATATTAGACAGTGACAGAACATTACTTATTCTGTACATGTAATACTTGTCTATAATACTTGTCTATATTATATATTGTGTTTTTGCTTCTTTGTACATTGTCTATTTTGTATATTTTTATATTATTCTTTTTATTATCTGTGTCCTGTCTTGTCACTGTCATTCTGTTGCACTGTGGAGCTTCTGTCACTAAAACAAATTCCTCGTATGTGTAAACATACAGTACCTGGCAATAAAGCTCATTCTGATTCTAATACATTTTTTACACATGCAGGGTAAAACGTCAGTTCAGAAGAGCAGCTACGAACCCATCTGGAATGAGCAAGTAATCTTCACCGAGATGTTCCCACCTTTGTGTAGGCGACTGAAAGTTCAGATCCGTGATTCAGACAAGGTGAATGATGTTGCCATAGGAACCCATTTCATCGATCTACGAAAGATTGCAAATGATGGAGACAAAGGTAACTGGCAATCTGTCCCAGTGTAACACGAAGAGTTTAATGAATGTACAGGTTGAATGGAGGCTGTAAATAAACAGACACCTTAAAGAACAAAAGAATTAACGGCTCCTTCATCTCTCCCCAGGGTTCCTACCCACTATGGGCCCAGCCTGGGTGAATATGTACGGTTCTACCCGTAACTACACCCTGATGGATGAGCACCAGGACCTGAATGAGGGGCTGGGGGAAGGTGTGTCTTTCAGGGCACGCCTCCTTATTAGTATTGCAGTGGAGATCCTGGACACCTCTTCCGCTGAAATAATGAGCTCTACTGAGGTACAAATAGAGCCGGTGTCCAACATGTCAGAGGTGAGATTCCTTATTTCATTTGTTTGAGATTGGGTCAAGGCACTGTGACACCTCTTTTTAGATCAATACTGAAATCTTTGTGAATCATAAATTATTCTACACTTACCCGTCACACCATGACATTACCCACAGGTTATTTGGAAGCCATCTGATTAATTCTAACTCACCTGCAGGCCTGCAATCTTCATATTTAACAATGTTTGAAAAACTCTACAGATTCCATTTTGGCCTGGTCATTTGTAACCTTCTTGCACCATATGTGAAGACAAATTGATTACAGCTCAGTCCAGATTCTACGAAACATCAGCTGCCCTCTGGGAAATTACAAGGCCAAACTCTGTGTCCTCAGACAAAAAGTCACTGCAGATGTGGGAGTCCAGCTGGCTGTGATTTTGTGTGGCCTTTGGGAGCAAATATTGATTGTCAGATGCATTTTACTGAAGCGCAATATTTGTTTTTACATTTGATGTAGAGGCAAGCATGTGATGCTGATAATCCCAACTGCCTTTAATGCCATGACTAACCTTGCGGTTTAAAGGCCTGTGCATTGATCCAAGCTACATGAAGAATAGAGACATAAAAGTGTAAGCCAAAGATATGTCGACGGTGTGATCATTGATATAATACAGAAGAGCTGGAGACTAGCACAGAAAATTAGATGTTTTCTTAGTGTTTACTCATCATTACAAATCAAATTACTTTCTTTCTTCTGTGCTTCTTCTTTCTTCTGAACACAAAAGGATACATTTTTTTTACCATTTATTCTTTTCTGTGATATTATAATAAATAGGGAAATAGAGCTTTTACTCTTTAAAAAGTAAAAGTGAAAACAGCATTAAAGCATCATAAAATTATCATAAAAGTAGTCTATGGTGTCCATGTGCTGTATTCCAACTTAAAAAATCCATATAATGAATATGAATAAGGACTGAGACTGTGAAGCTCCATAATCACAACAAAAGCACCATTAAAGTGTCACAAAATGGTTGAAGTCATTATTCACCTGACAATCTTCCCATCCAGTGCAATGCTAGAGAACCAGACCATAAGTCAATTTCTTGAACAAATCATCCAGATAGTAGTAGTAGTAGAAGTACAATTAGTTTATGAATTGAGCATTACTTACTGGTATAAAAATCTGTGAAGATTTTTCATGAATAACTTTTCTGTGTGTTTCTTACAGAAAGCTTTTTTTCAGCTTTATAAGACTTTCCCCTGGTTTCACAAACAAGGCTTAAGCCTAGTCCCAGACTAAAATGCATGACTGAGATGTTTTAAATGAAATAAACTTGCACTGGCATATCTTAAAATATGTCAGTGCCTTTGTTTTGTCTCAAGATGCACACCAGTAATGTTTTGTTCTAATTGAACTATGACTTAATCCTGGCTTAGTTTAGCCCTGTCTGTGAAACCAGGAATATAGAGCACAAGTCATATGGACCTTTATAGTGACAATTTATTGGTGCCTTTTTTTTTGGACATTTCTGAGCTTGACAGTCTCAGTCCTTATTCACATTTATCATATCAAATTTTTTTTTTTTCTATTCTGTTAATGATGGAAAGTCGTACAGGTCTGGAATGAGTTGAGTAAATGATGAATTTCCATTTTAATTAAAATTGTTATGAAGATGTACCAGTCAATTTTAAATTTACTATGGATCATTAATTAATTACCAAGCTTGTTTTTATAAACAAATTATGATACAGTAAAATTAGTGGCATACTAAACTACTAAACTGCCATTGTTATAATAAAAATGAAGATTTCCTCTCTTCCATAATAGATTTATTATGAACATTTTTGAACACAGTTGCATAGTTGTAGTTATACAACTGTAGAAATGAAAAGTAAATTTTTATAAGGGCGTTACTTCATTTCTTATTTTCTGCTGAGGACAGCAGTGAGAGTTTTATTTGATCAAAGATCATAGCTTCAGTTGAGAAGAAACCCCTGCTTATGGCGCTATTTTAATGACAAATGTCGAGAGCGCATTATTGTAGCGCAAAAGCACATTAATATAATGCACGAGCGCGAATCTCTCCGCTCGCGCGCGGATTTCTTTTGCTCTCGTACAAAACCGGACGCGTGTCTCTCCTCTCACTCAAACGGTGTCCTGTGCACTCTAAAATCTCTGTGCTCATGCGCTATAGATATTAATTCTTTTCACACCTGAATTAAACATTGTCAAAAGTTGTTATTATGCACTTTTAAAAAGTAGTCTCAAAACAGATTTGTGCAGGGCCTTTCCTTGATTTTTTATTGTTGCATTTTTGTTTTAACAAACTGGTTATTTTAGCAACTTTGTTTTACTATATCTCTTTTATGTTTGTATTTTGATCTTTTCTGCGAATGCACATATGCATCTCTTTGTAAAGTAGGCTACTTTGTATACACTGTTTTAAAAGGTGCTATATAAATAAAGCTTAAACCAATCAGACCTCCACAACTGACCGATGAAAATACTACGTGAAATCTAATTGGCTGAGTGGACTGAACCTGGAATTCTTTTGACAATCAAAGATGGATCTTTAATTTCTTTCCAGTTTAATAATATTTAGCAATGTTAATGAAATGTAGCCTATAGAAATGGCTAGGAATTGGGTGCTTGGATGATTTGTACATATAACCTCTGTCCAACTGGTTGGTCTCTGAGCAGTTTATCTAAAAACAACATATTATAGCCTGTGGCTCTAAAGACTTCATATAAAACATCGATGTTATGTCATAATATGTCAGATACCTCAACTGAATTTAAAATCATTGCAATAAATTCTCAGTTGGTATGATGACAATAATAAGTAACAACTCAAATCAACATCAAATACAAAAATAGATGTAAATGATGCAAGATATAATACAATAAATGCTCTTAATAGCATCGCTGTTTGAACATTTATTGGGAGGTTTTTTTTGTTTGTTTTTTTTTTTTAATCCAGTGTTTGTTTTCAAGTCTGTTTTTATTTTTATTTTTAGATTTTTTTTTCATGAAAATCAACTTAATATTAGCTACACATTCAATGGCACCCTCCTCTAAACCAGTGAATATACAAGTGAACAAATCTGTTTTCTTTTGACAACGTTTAATTCAGGTGCGAAAAGAATGAGTATCTAGCGCATGAGCACAGAGAGATTTGCGAGTGCAGGACACAGTTTGAGTGAGAGGAGAGACACGTTTTAAGTGCGCGTCCGGTTTTGTGCGAGAGCAAAAGAAATGCGCGCGCGAGCAGAGAGATTCGCGCTCGCGCATTATATTAATGTGCTTTCGCGCTACAATAATGCGCTCTCGACATTTGTCATTAAAATAACGCCATACTGCTGGGTTACAATGCAGCATTGAGCTGCCATAATCTCAAGTCAATTATGATTTCAGACTGAGCACACACACTTGCGATCACTATTGGGAAAATCCTATTCAGTCTGAGAGGAAAGAAGCAAGAGATCCCAATGCGTTGAAATAAAAGGTCACAAAAAACATACTGTATTCATTCCTCACTCTACTATGTCTGTCCCATTCAGCAGATAGTTTTTTATGTTATTTGTTACTATCCCTTGTATGTTATTTATAACACTTTTTATGTTATAAATAAAATCAATCACAGCTATTTGGATGTAATTCTGACCTTAAAAGATCTTTTTTTTTTTCTATCAGAGTGCCACAGGGAAGATGGAGGAGTTTTTCCTTTTTGGGTCGTTCTTGGAGGCCACAATGATAGACAGAAAAATTGGAGATAAACCCATCAGCTTTGAAGCCACTATCGGTGAGCTGAAGTCAAACACCTGTGAGGTCTCTTTTCAAAACATTCAGTATTTCAGTATGCTTCAAGTAAATTAAAAACATCAAAAATAACAACATTTACAGCACCACATGTACACAATTTTCCACTTAGGTAACTATGGTAACCGGATTGATGGAGTGAGCAAGCCTGCATCAGCAAAGAAGAAGAAAGAGGGTGGAGGGGAGAGTGAAGAAGAGGAGACTGAGCTCATCCATAACTCCAGCGATGAAGAGGCAGAGGATGATGGAGATTTGACATCTGTGCCGTCCACCCCTCCTATGAAACCAGTTATTACTGACAGGTCAGAGGTTTGAGAAAGGAAAATGATCATCAAATGATGAGTCATCAAACTGTCTAAAAATGGTTTTGAGAAAACACTTTACACTGTTAGTATAACAGCAGTGTTCTCTGACTGAAAATCACTCTCATAGGCAACTTTATTATATGTAGTTTGTCAAAATCACACTTAAAAAAAAAAAAGATAACAGCTACTGTTCAACTCTACATCTAGGAACTGAACTATCCATTTTGCTCTCTTTACAGAAATTACTTCCACTTGCCTTACTTTGAAAAGAAACCCTGCATTTACATCAAGAGCTGGTGGCAAGACCAGAGGAGACGGCTCTACAACTCCAATATAATGGACAAGATTGCAGATAAACTGGTCAGGCTCCCCCTTTAATTGCTATCTGACTGTTAAACTGTCAATCTCCTCCTTCGAAGCAGTTCCTTTACGGTTATTTTTGTAAAATCGGACATTATTATACTGTTTAAGCATGTGCATGTCTGTCTTTGTAAACAGGAGGAAGGTCTGAATGATGTTCAAGAAATCATAAAAACAGAGAAGGCATATCCAGAACGCAGACTTCGAGGTGTTTTAGAGGAGCTTAGCACAAGTTGCAGGTGAGAGAATGTTAAAGATCATCTAAACAATCGAAGTTAAAGTATATACAGCACAAAATCACAATCAGCAATCTTTTTTCTCTATTCTCCACAATTTAAGCCGATTTGTTACACTGGCAAACAAAGATCAGAATCTCTCCGGAAGAACCAAGCTGGACAAAGAGAGGCTCAAGTCCCGCATGAGAGAGTTGGTACGCCTACACACCATATATGGTCTCAGTTTGGACATTAAGAACTGCTGATGGGTTATTAAATGGTTATATTGTTCATAGGAGAGTATGGCTCAGCAGGCGAAGACTATCCGCTCACAGGTGAAGAGAAACACGGTTCGAGACAAACTCAAGCTAGTGTTCAATTTCCTTCACAGGCTTCGTTTCCTGGCAGATGAGGTAGAAGAAATCACATCCCCTTACTACTCCATTCACATTGAGCAACACAGACTTAATGTTTTCTTGTTAATTTCCTTTAAGCCCCAGCACAGCATCCCTGATGTGTTCATATGGATGATTAGCAACAACAAGCGCATAGCGTATGCCCGCATTCCCTCCAAAGACATCCTCTGCTCAATTGTTGACGAAGAGATGGGAAAAGACTGTGGGAAAGTTAAAGCTGTTTTTCTCAGGGTAGTTTCCCATTTTCATGTCTTTCTTCATCTGAATAAACATGTTAGTTTGAAGGAATTAAATTAGGTTGGATATTATTGATGTAAACATTCTGCATTGGTGCTTGTGTTCATTATAGCTGCCTGGAAAGAAAGGCTTTGGGCCTGCTGGCTGGACAGTTCAGGCTAAACTGGAGATGTATTTGTGGCTGGGGTTGAACAAACAGAGGAAGGACTTCTTGAGCGGCCTCCCTAGCGGCTTTGAAGAAAACAAGGCTACGAAGGGAACAGGCATACAAGCTGTTCCTCCCATCAGCCTGGTTTATAACAGTAAGATTATTAAATACTTTAAATATGATCTAATGTTTGTTTGTTTTTTGCTTTTGTTTGCATGTATGTTATAACATGTACAGTATGTGATAAGTGACCCTCAACTTGTTCTGTAGTGAAGCAGGTGTTTCAGCTGAGGGCCCACATGTATCAGGCTCGCAGTCTGTTTGCTGCTGACAGTAGCGGCCTGTCTGACCCTTTTGCAAGGGTTTTCTTCTCCACCCACAGCCAGGTGACAGAGGTGAGTGTGTGTTGGAGTCTTTGGTTATGAGTGTGCATTTCAGAGTCTGTAAAAGTACCGAATTTTTCAGTTTGGCTGTCTTTGCTGTCTGTGAACAAATACAGTGGGTGCTGTTTTTGTATGTAGGTGATTCTAAAGTTAGGGGCATTTTACTTAAAGGAATAGTTCACCCAAAAATTAAAACTGGATGGAAACGTACTCACCCTCAGGCCATCCAAGTTGTAGATTAGTTTCTTTCTTCTTTGGAACAGATTTGGAGAAATTTAGCATTCCATCACTTGCTCACCAATGGATACTCTGGAATAAATGGGTGCTGTTAGAATGAGAGTTAATCTTAAAGTTAACATCACAATAATCCACAAGTAATCACACAAGTAAATATAAACATTTAAACATTTTTTGCAGTGATTCTAATTACAATTACTGCAATTGTTTGTTATAATTGTTTTTATTTATAAATTGTACACACAAATGCAAAATTAATTAAAAATGTTGATGTTCTCAATTAAATGTTTAAGAGCCATTTACCTGAAAAACAGAGGACTTGGGAACATTTCAGCACTCTTTAAAATGAGGAAAACATAATTAAAGAGACATTAAAATGTCTAAAGCTGTTATAAAATCTGACCTTTAAAACTCGAATTATTGTTTTTTAATTTTGGTTAAAGGACAGAAAGGTTCTCGTAATTGATGAATCATCCATGAACATTTTTGTATGTATATTTCAGGTCCTCAGTGAGACTCTTTGTCCTACATGGGATCAATTGCTTGTGTTTGATAATGTTGAACTCTACGGTGAGGCTGGGGAACTCCGTGATGATCCACCAATCATTGTCATTGAACTGTATGACCAAGACACTGTGGTAAGTTTGTATTGCAAAACCCAAGTCTTATAAATATAGAAAATTAAATGTCATTGTTTGCTAGTTCAGCGCACATTTCTGTTGACATTATCCTCTCCATGTATGAGTCATATTAAAATGTGCCCTATTGTCCTGACTTGATGTTTCTTCCTGTTTAAAATCTTCTGGTCCTGGCCTTTTGTTGGACGACATTTTGGCTAAGTAGAGTGTGAACACTTATTTCAACACTGCTGTCAATCTGTGTTTGTATAGCTGAATTCAACAAGGCATGCAAGAAGTGGGATTGCTTGGGTCCCAAAAACAAGATCAGATCATTTCCCTTACATACATGGTGATAAAAACACCTGTTTCCTGTGGCGATAAACTGCCTCTTGCATTCCCTTGGTTGTGACAGTTCAGAGGGTTTACAATTTTTTTTTTCTTTGTAGTTGTAGTCTCTACAGTAGTTTGTAGTAATCATTGCTGTGGTTTATTTCATTGACAGCTGAGGGCCAAGGTCAGACATAGCATTAATGATCCTTTTTTAAAGGGGTCATATGATGCGATTTCAATTTTTCCTTTCTCTTTGGAGTGTTACAAGCTCTTGGTGCATAAAGAAGATCTGTAAAGTTGCAAAGACTAAAGTCTCAAATCCAAAGAGATATTCTTTATAAAAATTAAGAGTCAACCACGCTGTCTTTACATTTATTTTGAAAGATGAAGCTCGCGATTATGGTAAGGGGTGTTACATTTTCGACCCGTGCTTGTGGTGTTCGGCCAATCACAATGCACTGGGTCAGCTGGCCAATCAGAGCAGACTGCGCGTGTCAAAGGAGGGGGCTTTGTTGAAAACGACCTGTTTTAAAGAGGCGGGGCATAGAGGACCTACAATAATGTACAGTATTTAAAAAAGAATGTGTTTTTTGAACATTAAAGCATGTCAACATATTCTGTTACACCAAATACACAAAATAATGATCTTTAAAATAGCATCATATGACCCCTTTAATATTTAGAGAGTGATTGAGCACAGATGAAGAACCCAAACTCAAGTAGAATTTGACTTTTGTGAATGCAATCTTTTATGTTCAACATTTAATAAAAATATTCATAAATGACAACCAAAGCTTGATTTTCAGATCTTAAAGCCCCAGCAATACAGTAGCCATGATGTGCAAGTGGTTTTACAAGGAATGTGGCCACACTGACCCCTGGTGTTTAGAGGTAGTACTGCAACTGGTGTTTTTTTGTGTGTGGCATCCAGGGGAAAGCTGAGTTCATTGGGCGAACATTTGCAAAGCCACTAACTAAGATGGTTGATGAGCACTACGGGCCCCCACGGTTTCCCCCCCAGCTGGAGTACTATCAGATCTACAGAGGAAACTGCACTGCAGGAGATCTGTTGGCTGCTTTTGAGCTACTGCAGGTACAGGCGGTACACAGTGGCTGTGATCAACTTGTATATACTCCAATCTTGTGTGGACTCTCAGTCAATGCTTGGCCTATCTACTCATAAATGTTGCTTGAATAGCACAGATGCAGATCGCTCTTTCTCTTTTCCTCCCACTTGTATTTGATTCTTGATCTTTTCATGTGATTTCTCATTTCATTTTTCCATAATCCTCCGTCCCATCTTTCTGCTGTACTCTTCCATGGCAACTTTAACAGATTCCTTATGATGATGAGGAGATCAGGAGGGCCCTTATTGCTGTCCATGACTTTGCTGTACCTCAGATCAAGGTGCAATAAACAAAATAACAGTTCCCCCTCTGTAATTCTGCTTTGTTTTCCATTCTTGTGTAAGTGACTCCATCCTCTTTGCTATTGCTGGGCTTTGGCTTTTTTCGTGGTTTACAAGACATGGTAGAGGTTTGAAATTAAAATTAGTATTTAATCAGTATTATTAGTCAGTAATTCCTTCAGTCTTTCATCAGTTAATGACATATATTTGTTTATCCACAGATTGGTCCAGCAGGACGGGCAGCTCTTCCTCCGATTGATGGGCCGACTGATTCTGACCGTGGACCCATTCTTCCTGTTCCACTGGGCATACGACCAGTTCTCAGCAGATATCGTATAGAGGTGAAAGCACCACCACAGAGAGCCGCAACCACTATTTGATTGTTAACAACTGTTTTACTATACTTGTAGCTCATGTTATTTTTTGCATCAGTATTGTTGAGCTCATGGTCTTTATTTCTCTCCAGGTCCTGTTCTGGGGTCTGAGGGACCTTAAAAGAATCAATCTGGCTCAGGTGGACAGGCCTCGTGTGGACATCGAGTGTGCAGGGAAAGGAGTTCAGTCAGCCCTCATTCAGAACTACAAGAAGAATCCTAACTTCAGCACATTAGTGAAGTGGTTTGAAGTGGTGAGTGCAATTATATATGTAACGAAAATTCTCCACTTCATTTCTGATTTAAAAAGTGAACTTGAGGGATCTTGTGCTGCAGGATCTGCCAGAAAATGAGCTACTTCATCCACCACTCAATATTCGGGTGGTGGACTGCAGGGCATTCGGTCGCTACACCTTGGTGGGGTCTCATGCCGTGACCAGCCTTCGCAAGTTCATCTACAGCCCCCCAGACAAGACTGCTAACAACTGGGCTCACACCGGTACCTGTCATATACGAATATACTCACTGTAAATCTGTTAGAGTTAAATAACATAACATACAATATAATAAACCTCTCCTTATGATCTCCTAATTAATATTTGTACAGAAATGTATTTGTTGCATTTCAATGATAGTTAAATCCCATCAAAGACCACAACTAATTTTACATTTGTTAAACATCCCATCTGCATTTATTTATAAATACATTACGCAAATCGGCCAAGTTTCACTCATTATTGTATAAACTTTTATGCTTTATGCCACAATGTGTGAGTAACAGCCTATTGTCATCTGGGTCAGGTACCAGATTTGTGAGATGATGATATTGTACAACAATAAGTTTTTGTTTGTTTGTTTGTCTGTTTGTTTGTTTTACCAGATATTGCACATCCCTATTTATACATCAAGCAATTAAATTATAATTGCTTACATTACTTTTTAAAGGTTTGGAGTCAGTAAGATTTTTTGTTTGTTGTTTTTTAAAGAAATGTATTCAGCAAGAGCATTGTTTCTACGGTATTTTTGATCAAACAAATTCAGATAAATTGTGAGAGACTTTCAAAAACATTTAAAAAATCTTACCAACCCCAACCTATTTAAATGGTAGTGTATATAAGAAAACTTTTATTTTAAATTCTTGGTACAGACTACATCTTTTTTCCAGCTGTTCTGACTTTTCATTCCTTTTCTCTATTCCTTCTTCCTCTGATCTCTTCACGGTCTTATCCTTTCTGTCCTGGTGCTGGTCTTGTGTCATTGATTGCTATATCATATGACCCTGCCCACACCAGCTAGACTGGCCAATGGCTACATGGCTCTCACGAATGGGGCATCTCATTCCCGCCCCCAATCCCGTCCCATTTCTCATCCCTCAGGTGATATTGTGGTCAATATGGACCCTGAACCCAACATTAAGAAGATAGACACAGTTGTCAAGATTGATGCTGTGAGTAGATATGCCATGCTGTGAGAACACGCTGTTATGGTTTAGAATACTGCTCTGCTTGGTGTGTTTTTGTTCCAACTATGGTTCTGTTTGTTTTAGTGTTTTAAGGTTAGTGCACCAACAGTCATATGATGTGTATGCTAGTACGCTATTGTAGAATCTGTTGTGGATGTTGTTTGTATTTGATGTATGTTTGTGTGGCCTTGTCCTTGTAGACCACCGATGCTGTTGTTAAAGTTGACTTGGTGAGTCTTGGTTTGGTTCAGACAGATGTAAATGTTTTTATTTTATTGGATTAACATTACAAATGTAACCACATTACATTTCAAATAAAATCCTTTGTACTAAAAGAATGAGGATGAGAAGGAGAAGGAGAAAAAGAAAAAGAAGAAAAAGAAAGGAGAAGAAGTGGACGAGGAGGAGCCGGATGAGAGCATGTTGGACTGGTGGTCCAAATACTTTGCCTCAATAGAGACTTTGATGGAGGTGGGAGGGACTTTAAGCAGTTTTTATCCTTTACGTTTGATATATAGTGTCATATTGTAATATTTAACTGCAATATACTTAATGTGAATGCAGAATCTCAGAGCCCAGGAGGCCGCTCTGGCAGAGGCAGAGGAAAGAGAAGATTTGGAGATAGCAGCAGAGAGTGCAGGTAACCACAGAGTTTAACATGGACTTGGCGTCATGTTTCTGAGTAAAACTAATGTTCTGGTTAGGAATGTGTTCAGATTAGCACTGTCATCCCAAATCCATTTCCATTGTAGTCATGACATGAACCCATTAGTATTTTTGTTTTTCATGCCATGAACGTTGGACACAAACATATAGAAACTATTAATAATCTCCAATTTGGGAACTAATTTTCCCACATATTCTTTTAATTAAATTGAATTTTAATGTATTTGTTCCTTCATACTTTAAGGGGATCCATCTAGTAAATGTATATATAATCTATATGTACTTTAAAATAACTCATGGCTTGAAGCATCATCCTTCAGTACAAGCTTCCATTCAGACTGGCATTGTAGGTGTTGTGCTCACACATTTCTCATTTCCTCATTTCCATCCGTACCTACCCATTCACCCCTAACCTCAGAGATCAAAGCTGATGACTTTCCTATGAAAGGCACCAAACCCAAGGAGAAGAACAAAGACAAGAAGAGCTCCAAGGACAAAAAGAAGAACCATGATGGCACAGAAAAACGACCTCCAAAACCAAAAGTTGATGAACTCATGGTCAGTGCTTCTTCTTGAAAATGCTAGCCCACAGTGGTTGTGTTTTTCATTTTTGCTGTATTATAAACATTCATTTAAAAGTTACTGTTCAAAAGTTTGGAGTCACAGAGTTCAAAAATGCAAAGACTTCCTGACCCCAAAATTTGGAACATACATTAGCTAAACTGTGATCTGTAGCAGTTTATCCTTATTTTAGTGTAAATATAAACACCTTTATCTCAGGTGTACAATAAAGAGCTGGAGAGTGAGTTTGGTAGCTTTGAGGACTGGCTCCACACCTTCAACCTGTATAGAGGAAAGGCTGGAGACGATATTGACCACAATGTGGTTGATGATGACAGGATTGTGGGCAGATTCAAGGTAAGAATATATAATGTATAAATCAGGCTTCAGAGATAAAGTATGAACATCTTATTTTGATTTGAATCTGTCTCCTTATGAACCAGGGCTCCCTCTGTATGTATAAACTTCCACTGTCTGAGGAGATCACCAGGGAGGCAGGATTTGACCCAAACATGGGCATGTTCCAAAGTATTCCTCACAATGACCCTATCAATGTTCTCATAAGGATTTATATCATTAGAGTGAGTGAATTCAGCTTTGAATTGTAAGTGTTATTCATACGGCACTGTCTCTAAAGTAACATGACTCTCTTCCCAGGCCACAGACCTGCATCCTGCGGATATAAATGGTAAAGCAGACCCTTATATAGTCATTCGATTGGGAAAGTCAGAGATTCGGGACAAGGAGAACTACATATCCAAGCAGCTAAATCCTGTCTTTGGAAAGTGAGTAGGCTATACTACTGTAAACCAGCCAAATCAATAAATTGGTTAAAGTTCAAACAAGAAAATAATTTCTTGAAAGCACACTCTCCTCTTTTTCCTGTCCTTAAGGTCGTTCGACATAGAGGCTACATTCCCAATGGAGTCCATGCTGACGGTTGCAGTATATGACTGGGATTTGGTTGGAACTGATGACCTGATTGGTGAGACTAAGATTGATTTGGAGAACCGATACTACAGCAAACACAGAGCCACATGTGGCTTTGCATCCAACTACTCTGTGTGAGTACTTTCTTTCTTGTACTTTATATAAGTTATCAACACATTGAGCATGAACCTCTCAAATCTTTATAGAACAACATGTTAAAGCATTTTATTTATGGGGATGTCAATCAATACATTCATTTTACATGATGTAACATTTCATAAAATTAATCACAATTAATTGCATATATCAAAATGTATAAATGTGATGATAATAATAGAGCAGCCATATCCAGCATAATCCATTCAGTTGAGTTTCCAAGGCAGACATCAAGTCGTTATAATTAATGTGTTAAACTGACAGTCCTATTTTTTTATTTTTTTTCACTGTGAAACCATCCAGCCATGGTTACAATGTATGGCGTGACCCTCAGAAGCCAACTCAGATCCTTGCTAAGTTGTGCAAAGAAGGTAAATTGGACGGACCCCACTATGGACCTGGTGGGAAGGTCAAAGTTGCAAACCGCATCTTTCTTGGGCCAACAGAAATTGAGGATGAGAGTGGTGAGACATTTTCAGAGCTTATACAGAGTTTATGTTTTCTCTGATCATATATGAAAAGACATCAATTTCGTTTGGCTTACAGGTCTGAAGAAGCAGACAGAAGAACACTTGGCTCTTACGGTTCTTAGGCATTGGGAGGAGATTCCACGTGTTGGTTGCAAACTCATCCCTGAGCATGTGGAGACCAGACCGCTCCTCAACCCAGACAAGCCAGGCATAGAGCAGGTACGCAAGAGTCTGCAACAAAATACCACTGTGATTACCAAGGGCATACTCCAAGGTTCACCAAGTGGCCTTGATGAATTTTCCATCATTGGTAACACAATTCACAGCAAGAATAAACAACTGCATCAACTTTAGCAGATGCAGTTATTTTATTTTTGCGTGTTCAATGAGGAAACATAAATGAACATTGTAAAATAAAAAATGTAATGTAACTATAAGCTCCTCGAAATTTCACAATCTCACAGGGAAGGATTGAAATGTGGGTGGACATGTTTCCTATGGATGTACCAGCACCAGGACCAGCCATTGACATATCACCACGCAAACCAAAGAGGTAGATGATTCTGTTCAGTGTCTCGACTTTTGTTGCTTTTCCTTCATTTGTTGCAGTTAAGGTATTAATGTTTTATTTGTACATAATTTTGCCTTAATGCTTACATGTTTTTTCCTTAAAGTCTCTAGGTACGTGGAACAAAATGTCATGTTTGATATGTGCATCAGTGAGTGTAGCCTCACTGAGGATTAGACAAAAAATAGGAAGCTTTAATAATCAGTCATGCTGAGATCACATACTCACTCTTGGATCATTACACCCTTAAGCAAGGAACAGATTGCTTTGTTTTCTGGACTGCTTGTGCAATTAATATTCTTTGGATGACTTAAAAGCTTTGGATGAAGAACTGGCTGTGAATGGTGAATTGCCAAACTACAGAATGTCTTTTTATCTCACTTAATTTTTATAATTGTTTGCTATAATGATTTTTAACTGCGTTAACTGTGATTCAGCTAAACAGATGACAAACTCTTTCACTAAAAGTTGTAGCCAAAACACATCCTCCTGGTTCTTTTTGCTCTCATATTTACTCTGCCAGCTTCACGCCTCTCATTTTTTCATGTTAATCATCTACTGTAAAGAATCTGCCAATTTTTAACAAGGCCTGTACTGTAAAACTGTCCTACTTTAGTCTGAGATATTTATTCGCTGCAAAATGCAGTTGCACCTTATTGACATAAATATAAGAGGCTATTTGCATATTCAATATCATTATACAAAAGTGTGCACTTACTAAATTCTAAAAAGATAAAGTAATTTCAGGGGAAGAGCAGACGATTATGTTTCGATCAAAGATTACAAAGACAAATTTGAATCAATTACAAGAACAGGAACCTGCATTAAGAAAGTAAAAAGGATCATGTTGACTGCAGTTTTTACCTAATCTGATCAAATTATTTTGGTCATATTAATAATAATAGTCTTAAATAATATTTTTTCTTTTAAATCTAACAAGTTACTGTAGTTTAGATTTTTTGGGTTAAAACACTTTTTACAGTGTGAGATGATGATCCCATTTTTTTCATCTCCCAGATATGAGCTCAGGGTATATATATGGAATACTGACGAGGTAATTCTGGAAGACGATGATTACTTCACAGGGGAAAAGTCCAGTGACATTTTTGTGAGGGGGTAGGTATGGGCAGGTGTGTGAAAAGTGTGTGGTTTAATCGGTTACCTTTGTTTGTTTGTTTCTGTTTCCTTTTGTTGTTTGTCTGTGTTGTTGCGTTCGGTGTTATTTTGTCTATCCCTCCTCCCTGTCATTGCTGTGCTGTTATCTAGCTTTGAGCTTCGTGTTATTATTTGGAACACTGATGACGTAGTTCTAGAGGACGATGCTTTCATGACAGGAGAGAAGATGTCTGACATCTATGTCAGGGGGTAAAGACGATACGATCGCATGGCTTGAATGCTCTGCTCACCGCCTGCAGAAATCTGCACCTGCCCCTTCCATTCACAACTAATAAACAAATACCACCCTCCATACAGATTCAAGTTAAACGGGACCATATCATTCAAAATGATGCTGCTTTCTAGTTACCACCTCTAAATTCTTTGTATAATATTATTTCAAATGAATTCAATTGGCTGTAAAGTTGAATTCCTCATAAATATATAATAATTGGTATGGTCTTAGTTTATAGAGCCATTTTTGTTTAGTTTGTCTTGGGGACTGAGATGTCTTCATCAAATACTGCATGAAAGCATAAGATATGTCTGTTTGCATGCCAAAATCTACTTTTATAATCTGAAATGCGACATTTGCATACCAACATGTTGCTTAAGGATCTGTCTCGAGAACTTAATCTGTCTATTTTGAAAAGTTACACATACAAGTATGCATGTATTGGATCCACATAGTTGGCTACTAATGGTTCAAATAAATACATAATACAGTAGCTCTATATGATGTAATGCTGTTGGGACAGGCTATTCTTTCAAACTGGTAAGCTCTGCAGATCGACGCCTCACAACTTAAAGGAATAGTTCACAAATATATTCAAATTTGCTTCAAATGTACTTACCATCAAGTCATCCAAGATGTACATTTTCATCCAAGATTTATTTTCTTCATCAGAATAGATTTTTGAGAAATTTAACTTTATTTCACTTGATCACTAATGGATGCTCTGCAGTAAATGGGTGCCGTCAGAATGAAGGTCCATACAGCTGATAAAAAACACCTTATTAATTCACAACTCTAGTCCATCAGTTAACATCTTCTGAAGTGAAAAGCTGTGAGTTTGTAAGAAACAAATAAAATGCTACATTTCTCCAAATCTGTTCCGATGTGGAAACAAACTCACCTATATCTTGGAAGACCTGTGACATTTTCAGCAAAAAAGTTTTTGGGTGAACTAGTCCTTTAAGTGCAGAAAATTGACTAGATGTCAGGTCAGACATCCCTTTTTCTTTTCTATTTCCAGAAAATTCACCTGTGATTTATATGCACTCTTTCAAATGATGTTATCAAAACGTAACAAGCACATAACTCTTCTAAGTCATGCATTAACCATCTACTTATTCTCTGCGCTTTATTATACAAATATAATAATTTGGACCTCATTAAAATGTTTAATAACACCTACTGTAACTGCAATGACCATGGGGTAGAATTTGGATTATTTCATTTTTTCCGCCAGTTTTCTGACGCAGTATTGGAGTAGATGTGTATAAATACTATTTTATGCATGTTGTCTATTCAGTATTTTTGTTGTCTATTCAGTATTTTTGTATATACATTTCACACATTATACAAGTATATAAATGCACTCTTTGTTCAGAACATTTGTGCATGTTTTGTCATGCGACTTACACAAGAAATCACTGATGCTTGTATATTTTTTGTATGAATATTAAAATCGTGTTGCTTTTAACAATTGAAAATCGTCTCCCTGCTCAGCTGGCTAAAAGGACAGCAGGAGGATAAACAGGACACAGATGTGCATTATCACTCTCTAACCGGGGAAGGAAACTTCAACTGGCGCTTTGTTTTCCCTTTTGACTATCTCATGGCTGAGGAGAAGATAGTCATCTCTAAGAAGGAATCCATGTTTTCCTGGGATGAGACCGAGTACAAGATTCCTGCTCGACTCACCCTTCAAGTATGGGATGCTGACCATTTCTCCGCAGATGACTTCCTGGGTATGTTCACAATTCAGAAAGACAAAAAAAGACCAATTATTAGATATTTATGACTTACTGTATGCAAGTCATGTACTGAAGATAATTTTGGCTTTGAAGAATAAACACAGTTTTGTAATTAATGCTCAGTTTAAAGTGTTTCATTCCACTTTAAAATCATTTTTAATGCTCTCTGTGTTTATTTTTGCAGGTGCGATTGAGCTGGACTTGAATAAGTTTCCCCGTGGGGCAAAAACAGCTAAGCAGTGCTCTCTCAACATGGTTCTCAAAGAGCATGAGCTGCCAACCATCTCCATCTTCAAAATCAAATACTGCATGAAAGCATAAGATATGTCTGTTTGCATGCCAAAATCTACTTTTATAATCTGAAATGCGACATTTGCATACCAACATGTTGCTTAAGGATCTGTCTCGAGAACTTAATCTGTCTATTTTGAAAAGTTACACATACAAGTATGCATGTATTGGATCCACATAGTTGGCTACTAATGGTTCAAATAAATACATAATACAGTAGCTCTATATGATGTAATGCTGTTGGGACAGGCTATTCTTTCAAACTGGTAAGCTCTGCAGATCGACGCCTCACAACTTAAAGGAATAGTTCACAAATATATTCAAATTTGCTTCAAATGTACTTACCATCAAGTCATCCAAGATGTACATTTTCATCCAAGATTTATTTTCTTCATCAGAATAGATTTTTGAGAAATTTAACTTTATTTCACTTGATCACTAATGGATGCTCTGCAGTAAATGGGTGCCGTCAGAATGAAGGTCCATACAGCTGATAAAAAACACCTTATTAATTCACAACTCTAGTCCATCAGTTAACATCTTCTGAAGTGAAAAGCTGTGAGTTTGTAAGAAACAAATAAAATGCTACATTTCTCCAAATCTGTTCCGATGTGGAAACAAACTCACCTATATCTTGGAAGACCTGTGACATTTTCAGCAAAAAAGTTTTTGGGTGAACTAGTCCTTTAAGTGCAGAAAATTGACTAGATGTCAGGTCAGACATCCCTTTTTCTTTTCTATTTCCAGAAAATTCACCTGTGATTTATATGCACTCTTTCAAATGATGTTATCAAAACGTAACAAGCACATAACTCTTCTAAGTCATGCATTAACCATCTACTTATTCTCTGCGCTTTATTATACAAATATAATAATTTGGACCTCATTAAAATGTTTAATAACACCTACTGTAACTGCAATGACCATGGGGTAGAATTTGGATTATTTCATTTTTTCCGCCAGTTTTCTGACGCAGTATTGGCGTAGATGTGTATAAATACTATTTCATGCATGTTG